CTATTGAAATCTTCCCCTTTCCTCAATGCCTTGCGGGAGCCCCACCTCCCCTGAAGAGGCCAGCTGGAAATGATCTCTCTCATTTCAACTCTTAAAGGCTTTATTTTCTATAGCACTCATTGGTCCCAAAGTAAACACTGCCATTGGGTGTTTGGGGGTTTTTGTGCATGCGAGAGCAGGGACTTTGTTTTGTACTTCTCTGCCTGCCGATGCAGCCTAAATATGATGACTCGCACATAATAGGCACTCAACAAATGTTTGTGGCTGATGATGAGACCAACAGCTACCATTAATCGAGCATGTAGTGTGAGCCAGGCACTTTATCTCCAGGATTCTATTTAATCTTTTGGGTTTTGATAAAAGATATTTTATATATACAACACTTTAATACATTCTCTTTCCAAAAAATTAAAATTTAATACATGGAGTAAGAAGTGGAAGCCTTTCCCATCCCACTCTCTACCCCCCTTTATCGCACCCCCTTATCTCCCTAGAGATAATCAACCTTAATAGTTTAGTCTATCTGACCTTTGTCTAATATTTATATATATGTGTAAGATACACATATACAGTTTTAAATATATATACATGGAATTATACCAGATGTACAGTAACTCAGTGTAAATGTCACAAAATCTTTTTTTTTTTTGCATATGAAAATTTATTACTCTCGTGCTTTCACCATCAAAACTTATGCTCTTGGTCTTTCCTTCTTGCCTTTGTATAAAGCCAAAAGAGAGACACTGGCTACTTTGACCACCTTAAAGCGGACTCCAGGAATGTCACCAACAGCATGACCTTTACGACCAAATCCAGCAACCAGAACTTCATCATTTTCCTCAATAAAATTCAAACAACCATCATTGGGTACAAAGGCTGTGATTTTTTTTTTTTTTGCCATTCTTGATTAGCTGAACCCTGACACACTTCCTGATGGCAGAATTTGGCTGTTTGGCTGCAAACCCTACTTTCTTGAGCACAATTCCCTTTGCATAAGAAGCGCCTCCAAAAGGGTTGGCCTTCAGGGCTGTGCCCAAGTGGGCTTTCTTGTACTGTTTATCATGGCACTTCTGGTCTCGTCAGTGGCTGCGGAGCTTCCTGGCAGTACGAAGACCGCGACACTTGCCCATCCTGCCGGCGCCACGGGCCAGAGCGAAAGAGAGAAGCAGCCCAGGAAGCCACAAAATCTTAAAAGGTGTATTATTTCTATTTTTGAATTGAAAACAATTGAGGCTCAGAGCGGTTAATGAACTTTTCCAAGGTCACACAGGTAGAAAGTGGATGAATCAGGATTTGAACCTGGTCTCTGCTCTTTCGATCTGAATAATTGTGGGGTTTCAGAATTGCCTCTGGATCACCTGTGTTGGAACACCTGGGGGACTTGTTAAATGTACAGATTTCCACCTGGCCCTCAGCCCTGGGTTCTTAGCCAATAAATTCAGAATGAGGCTCTGGATTCTGTAGTGCAACAATGACCCACAGGCGATTCTGGTGTGTGGTCTGAAGGCACACTCGTCTGAAGGCACCTGGGGTGGTCTTCTGTCTTCTAGCACCGTCTACTCCAGCTCGACAGCCAGCCAGGGGCTGTGGAGTGGTGGTATAGCCCTCCCGAGCCAGGCTACCTAGGTTCAAATCCTGGCTCTGCTACTTCCAACTGTTAACTTGGGCAACTTAATTAACCTCTCTGGGCCTCAGTCTCCTGATCTGTAAAATGGGGATGGTCAATAATAACACCTCCCTCCTATGGTTGTTGTGAGGATTATATGAAGGTGAGAGACATAAAGCACTTACAGTGGCACCTGGCAGAGTAACATCTGTATAGTTTGCCACTCTTGTCAGAACCAAACTATTCTGGAAGCTTTCCAGGGAGCCCCTTTGGTCTCAGGCTACTGTTTGACAGCAGGATTACAAGGTCTGTTTTCTAGCCTCTTATCAGAGTCTGCATGGGGTGGGTGATGCGGTGTGGCAGGGGTGTATGATAAAGGAAAGAGGGAACTGTGGTGCACTGCGGAGCTGAAAAATGCAGTCACCTGGGAGCCAAGAACAGTGGGAAGGTCCCATATAAAACCCAGTGTCAGGACCACCCGCTGGAGACACGCATTTGCCTCTTCTTTCTGCACACGCGAGAGGTCAGGTGCCCCGAACATGAACAGAATAACATTAGTTAGCGCTGCTTGCTCAGGATAATGAAGGCTGGAAACTTGGGAAATACGGAAGAATGTTAAACCTGTTTATGTCATTGCATTGTAAGTTTGGAGGGGCAAGAAGGCTCTGGAAATTCACACAGGCCACTGACGTGGACCCGCCCTGGTCTATTACAGAAACAAAATGGCCACTGGGAATGGCTGTCCCGCCCACTGCCTTTTTGGTCAAGCACTTTCTTGACAAATATCTATTGACATCAGAACCTTGTGTTTCTCTCTGCAATGCAGTTCCCTGAATACTATCTTCCCAGAATCTGGTAGGCAGGTGGTACTACTGTAATGGTGGGCATTGGTTTTTTTTTTTAAATTACAGTTTGACTGCACATACACATTAGAGTGCACATAAATACGTGTATACAGTATACTGCACATTTTTTTCAGTTTACATATATGTACTAATTATTATTTCTAAGAACACACTAGATCTTTAGCTTTTTAAACTTACATAGTTATCTATGGAATAAAGCCAACCACAATATAAGAATCAACAGAATGCGGTAATCCAGTCATAAAGGACAGTCAGATGTGGTTACACATAGTCAAGAAATCAAAATAACAATTAGTTCATTTGTGTCCTTATTATTGTTATAATTTTTTCTATTCCTCATGTAAATGATGTCATATGGCATTTTTCTCTTTCTGTCTCACTTCACTTAGAATGACAATTGCTAGGTCCATCCATGTTGCTGCAAATGGCATTATTTTATTCTTCTTTATGGCTGAGTAGTGTTCCATTGTATATATGTACCACAGCTTCTTTATCCAGTCATCTGTTGATGGACATTTGGGTTGTTTCCATGTCTTGGCTATTGTAAATAGTGCTGCTGTCAACGTTGGCGTGCATGTGTCTTTTTGAATTTTGTTTTTCTCCAGATATATGGTGGGCATTTGGTTTTTAACTCCCTTCCTTAGTTCTCTGAACGAAGCCATGTGAGGTGTGGACTGTTCCTCCCCTTTAGAGGTCAGGGCTGGAGGAAGCCTGGAAAGGGGACGTCAGATGCAATTAAGGATGCTTTGATTCTCTGTAAAAATTACTTATGATTTCAATACAAAATATGATACACGAATTAGGACAAAAGGTAAAGAAACACAAAGACCTAGGGGCAAATCTAGCAACTTTCTGCATATATTTTAAGTCGCAAATAGGTGCTTAGTCATCTTCTAATTTTTCTTCTTTGGCTTCAAGAAGAAACCTTAATTAACTGCCAACTATGTTTCACTGAATTTTGAAAAATGTCAGGCCTGGATAAATCTTCCCAGCCTGCTCCTAAGTGGATGTGTCCATCTGGATGGTCTAATATTCACTCAATTAACCACTCAATTATATATAAAATATATAATAGATTTTCTTTTTTAGAGCAGTTTTAGGTTTACAGGAAAACTGGGCAGATGTTCCCATATACAACCCCCAGTTTCCCCTATTATTAATATCTTGCATTAGAATATTGGTTCAATATTGAGGAATCAATATCGATACATTATTATTAACCAATCTCCGTGGTTTACATTAGGGTTTACTCTCTGTTGTATACATTGTATGGATTTTGACAAATGCACGATATCATGTATCCACCATGACAGTATCATACAGAATAGTTTCACTGCCCTAAGCATCCCCTGTGCTCCATCTCGTCATCCCTCCTTCTCCCCCCAGCCCTGGAAATCACTGATCTTTTTACTGTCTCCACAGTTTTGTCTCTTCCAGAGTGTCGAGTAGTTGGACTCATCCAGCAGGTAGCCTTTTCAGATTGGCGTCTTTCACTTGGTCATCGGCATTTCTGGTTCCTCCATGTCTTCTCGCCGCTTGCAAGCTCATTTCTCTTTAGCACTGAACTATATTCCATTGTCTGATGTACTGCCCCTTCCTATACGCTAGACACTGATGGGAGAGCTGAAGAGATCCAAGGGGGGCTAAGAATCAGTCTTTACCTTTGAGGGCAACTTCTAGTCTAGTTGGGGACGGAAGACATATACCCATGCAAAGTCAGCTCATGATATTAAACAGTAAGTCAGACATGCTGAAAGTCACATGTGGAATGAATAACGGCTGTAGCAGTTAGGGGAAGAGTTCGTGGAAGGTTCCACAGAGGAAGTGCAATGGGCTGAGGGTGGGGAGAGACAGAGAGGATGGAGATTCAAAGAACGCTGTGCGCGTCTTAGCTTTTAACCCTGTGTCCTTTCACCCAGGCTGTAGACAGAGAGAAGGGAAATGATGTGTCCACGGTGTATCCAACCTCCCTGGCCCAGGACCATCCCCACCTGGGCAGGCTCTCTGGCAATTAGCTCACAGGTGGCCGAGCTCAGTTCCTCTCTCAACAGGTGCAAAACTGCGACAAAGGATCTGATGTCTTTATTAAATTCCATCTCCAGGCAGCAAAGCCTCTCAAATCCTGAGCTAAATTTTTTGTGTGTGTGGAGTATAAAGTTTACTTTAGAAGAGATCCTTTTGTATACTGTTGTGTGTGTGCGTGTGTGTGGTGAGATAGGTTTTCAGATACCAGGAAATTTTATTTTTTTGTTGCAGTATAGTTGATTGACAATGTTGTGTCAGTTTCAGGTGTACAGTAAATTGATTGATTCAGTTACACATATACATATATATATTCTTTCTCAGATTATTTTCCATTATAGGTTATTATAAGATATTGAATATAGTTCCCTGTGGTATATAGTAGGTCCTTGCTGTTAATCTATTTTATATATAGTAGTGTGTATCTGTTACTCCCAAACTCCTAATTTATCCCTCCCTCCCCCCAGGAAATCTTTATTCTAGTCCTTATCCTTTTTCTGCATTAAAAAAATATGGAACACGCTCCATGAATTTGCGTGCCATCCTTGTGCAGGGGCCACGCTAATCTTCTCTGTATGGTTCCAACTGTATATGTGTTGCGGTAGCAAGCGCTGGACTCTTTTTTTTTTTTTACTGTGGTAAAATACACATAACAAAATTGACCATCTGAACCATTTTGAAGTGTACCAACTCAGTGGAATTAAAGACATATACAAAAAAAAAAGACATATGCATTGTTGTGCAAGACATGATTGACTCACCACCATCCATTACCAGAAATTTTTCATCTTCCCAAACTGAAACTCTGCACCCATTCAACACTGACTCCTCCTTTCTTCCTGGCAACCACCAGCCTACGCTCCGTCTCTATGAATCTGATCACCCTAGGGGCCTCATATAAGTGGAATCAGACAACATTTGTCCTTCTGCATCTGGCTACTGTTTTCCATAATGGCTGTACCATTTTACATCCCCACCAGCAGTGCACGAGGGTTCCAGTTTCTCCACATCCTCGCCAATGCTTGTTATCTTCTGTTTGTTTCTGGGTTTTGGAAATAACCATCCTCATGGGTGTGAAGTGGTCCCTCATCGTGGTTTTGATTTCTTTAGCTCAACTTCTGTTTGTTGAGGAAAAAGTTGAGAGTGACGATTCCTGTACAGGATGTTAACTGTGAGTGGGCTCAGCTTTCCCGTCAGAGGCCAACCTTCCCCACCTCTGGCAGTTCACCTGTGTCCTCCAGGGCCTGTTGTATAAAATATGCATAAAATGTTAAAATCTGTTTTCTAAGGATTATCAGTGCCATCAGTTCATATGTAAAAAGCTGTTAATATTTCGGTGCACACAGATATGCACATGTAGTTATGTTTCATCTTTTGTTCATTCATTTTAATGGCAAGTAAGTTCAAATACAGGCAAGCTAGAGACCGGGACTGGGAGGCCTGGGTCATCCCAGCATAAGAGCGCTGGGTGCTGGGCTCGGGGGAGGGGAGGGGCACAGGGTTGGGAGCTGTCCTTTTTGTTTCCCTTTCTCCCACCTCTGTTAGCAAGATTTTTGTTTTTGTTTTTGCAACACATTCCAGTGTCAGTTGTCAAGCACACATAAGACTTTCCCTGGCTGATTTGGCTGATAAAGATGCAGTGAGCCACTTTCAGATTTGGACACTTTATTACTTCTATACACAATGAAAGGAAAATTAGCCAAAGGTGCCAAGTCCCTGGGTGCTTGTCTCACCCCAAAAAGGATGACATCGAAACAAAAGGGGCCAGATGGGCCCATTCTAGACTGGCAGTATAAAATATAAAATGGGGCAGTTTTGTACTAGTTTGATCTTGAGGGGGATGGTATGAAAGTCTCCGACCTCATCAGAACCCAGGAGGTGATGAGACTCGGTCTCCTGAGAGCCTCCCAAGGGAGATAAGGGGATGTTATGGGCTGAATTATATCTCCAGCTCCAAACTCATATGTTGAAATCCGAATTCCTAGTATCTCAGAATGTGACTGCCTTTAGAGACGGGGTCTGTAAAGACGTAATTACATTAAAGTGAGAGCAGAT